CTACATAAACATATACATATATATATATACGTAAACAAATACAAATGCAGATACACAAACATATGCATATACATATACATATACATATACACATACATATACTTAGACCCGTACAGTTACAAATGCAAATCCATAGACATATACATATACATATACGTATACACATACAACTACATATACCGATGTACATATACATGTACATGTACATGTACATGTACATGTACATGTGCATGTACATATACATGTACATGCACATACACACATATGTACATACATGTATGTATATAGATAAGGCCCGCGCCTTCTAAGAAGCAGGGGTGCTTCTAAGAAGCCTCCCCCCCTCCCCTTACCCCCCTCTGCGCGTGGCTGGCAAACCCAAGCGAGCAAGCTGCTGCCATCGCACCGCAATCAGCGATCGGGGAACCCCGGTGGGCCCGCACCGAAGGCCACTCCGGCGAAGGGTCGCGGTTTCGCGCAGTGGACATCCGCAAGGAGTGGCCCCGCTGGAGTGCCCGGGGGGGGGCAGGAGCAGTAGCTCCAGGGACCAAAGGGAGGGGACGCCAGGGACTCTGCGGACCGCGGGCCGTCAAGGAGAGCATCGCGCCAGACTGCTGCGGAAGGAGGCTCGGGCCGGGCGAAAGGGGGGGATAGGATAGCAAAGGGGGGGCTTGAGAATCAGCTCGCGTGGCTGATTTTCCCGGCGCCAGAGGCGGCCATGTGCCGAGGAACGGGCCCCTCGGTGGGGCCGAAACCGACTGCACGCAGCAAATTTCGTCCCCCCCCCCTCTCCCAATCCCCCCTTTTCGTCCGGCCCGAGATCTGGCACCGCGAGCAGAACCTCGCCGCCAGAGGAGGGCCGAGGAGCCTCAGAGCGCGGGCTGGCGCCAGCGTGCGCTCGTTCCCCCCCCTCTCGTCCGGCCCGAGAGGCGGGCGGGGACGTGTTCTCTCGCGAGGGGGGGGGGGGGCAGAGCCGCCAGAGGACAAGGAGAGAGGGGAGGAGGAGAGAGGAGGAGGAGGAGAGAAAGAGAGGTCGAGGAGAGAGGAGGAGGAGGAGAGAGGAGGAGGGGGGGGGGCAGAGCCGCGGGAGGGCGAGGAGAGAGGATGTCGCGGGCGGCTCCGCGTTCCTGCGACGGTCGTGTGCGGTCGGAGCGTCTTTTTGGGGAGGCAGGCCGCGCGAAGTCAGGCGCTGGTCGCGGGTCTGGGGGGGGAGGGGCAGAGGGGCGAGGAGGGGCGACGGGCGCAGAGGGGCAGGGGCGAGGGAGGAACTGGAGGGGAGCACGTCTCAGCATGCGGACGGCGAGCTGAAGGCCGGGGGGGGGAGGAGGGAGGAGGAAAGGGGGAGGGAGGAGGAGGAGGAGGAGGAGGAGGGAGGAAGGAGGAGGCGGTTGGAGAAGGGACGGGCAGGAGGACGTGGAGGAAGGCGGAGGATACGGTTCGACGGCAGCAAAGAGCGGGGAGGAGAAAAAGCAGGAGGTGGATGACGAAGAAGTAGACTACGTATCAGAAGGAGGAGAACAAAGAGAATGCAGGGGTCAGCAAAGATGAGAAAAACATCAATCGCCGATCATCCACGATACACGACGACGACGATTGTCGGTAACGGTCGACGATCGACCATCGACCAGGACGACCAACGATCGACGATCGACGACTACAACGACGCCGACGCCGATTCCGACGCCGACGCCGACGCCGACGCCGACGACGACGACGACGATCGACGACGACGACGACGATCGACGACGACGATCGACGACGACGATCGACGACGACGATCGACGATCGGCCGCGCGCGTAGGCGCAAGGACGGGCCTGCGCCTCCGCCGCCGCCGCCGCCGGCCGGCAGCCCGGAGAAGGTGCAGAGGAGGGCCTCCGCGGCTGCGCCGCGGGGGGGGGTACACTTCGGGTTCGGTCGGTGTCGGCGTCGGGGTGTCTGTTCGGAAAGTGTTCAGTGTAGGTAACGCCGTGGACGGCCCTGCGTTCGCAGACATCCTCGGCCTGGAGGTTCGAGGAACCAGGTTCAAGGATCGATATCTTCTGGCGCCCTGGCCTCGGCTGGATTCAACTCGAAATGATTGCCAGAACGCACCCCAGGGTGGGTCTGGGGGTCGAAGTTCACGGGTTTGGGGCGAAGGGTCCCTAAAGCCCTTCGCGTCTTGACTGGTTTTCGTGCACTTTCGTGGGCTGTCGGAGGTTTCCCCGATTCGGGACGCTTGCCAGCAGCTTCGCCTCGCCGAGAGCGTTCCTGGGGGGGGCCCGATTATCTCGAACGGCCGCCAGAGGCGCGTTTCTTGAGCCGCCGAAGCACTAACCTCCCCCGTCCTGAAAGAACAGGACGGCATGACGGAAGTGTTTCGTCGGTTGGGGGGTTGGGGCATCCAGGTGCAACCTGGCCCAGTCAAACCGCATAAGGAGCGCGGCAAGGATGCAGGAGCCTTGGAAGGCCACGGTTGCCGTTTGCGACACGGGGCCGGCCAGCGAGAGTCGCCAAAGATGGGCCGAGGCCCAAGGGGCAAGGAGACAGGTAGGACCTTCTCTCCCGGCCCCTGGCCTGGCCTGTCTGCTTGCGGTTGCTGCTTTCTTTCCTCCTTGTCCTCCTCCCCCTCCTCCCCCTCCCTTCGCTTCTGCTCCTTGCTTCCCTCCCTTTCCTTTCCTCCTGCTATCCTTGCTATGCGGGTGGGTCGTCTCCCCGGGGAGGCCGCCCAGGGGGCGGAAGCAGGGCAGAGCAGCCAGGGAAGGCCAGCCAGGGAGCGCCAGCAGCCAACGCGAACCCCGAGGAGGCGGAGGGAGGACGAGTAGCCCACTCACACAGACACAAACACACACACACACAGACACACAAAGACACACACAGACACGCACACACGCACACACGCACGCACGCACGCACACACGCACACACATACACACACACACACACACACACACGCACGCACGCACACACGCACGCACACACACACACACACACACACACACGACGCGCGCGCGCACAACACACACACACACACACATCTATATATATATATATATATATGTATATATATATATAATATATATATATATATATGGCACGCACGCACGCACGCACGCACGCACGCACGAACGCGCGCGCGCGTGTTCCTCGGCGAGCCCTCGATCGGCGACACGCTGGTCACACACACACACACACACACACACACACACACACACACACACACACACGCCCTCGCGCACACGCGCGCACTACGTACTGCGCATTCCCCCCCACTCCCAGCGCTGCTGCGCGAACGCTGCTGCGGATGCTTGGCGAGACTGGCCGAGCACTGCCGCGGGGCTTCTCGACGTGCCTCGGCCGAGCTGCTGAGAACACTGACGGGGCAGACCCGAGCATGAGGCAAGCTGGGACACAAGGGGCCCATCAGTGACGAAAAACCGCGTGGTAACCAACCGAAGAGGCCTTGCAGGAAGTTGGTCCTGAAGCAAATGCTGTATGCCAGAACGGGCGAGAGACAGAGACAAAGGGAGGGGGAGAGAGGGAGAGAGACGGTGAAAGAGAAAGAATGAGACAGAGAGAGAGAGAGAGCGATAGAAGGAGAGACAGAGATAGAGCGAGAGAGAGAGAGAATAACAATGAGACTTAGCAATATTGATAGAGAGAGAGGCGTAAAGTGAGACGGAAAGGGTCACAAACAGTCACAAAGACCAGGAGGTCAACACAGGAGTTAGGATCTGAGTGAGGGTAGGGCGTGCCTGAAAGATTGGCGACTTCTCCTGGAAGCCCCGGATTATGTGCCTGCGGCGGGCAACGAAAACCTCGAGCAAAACGAAAAAGGATGATGCACATGCGAAACGTCGAGTTACTGCTGACATGCGGGCTGCCACTCAGATTGCCTTGACACTCGGCTACCGCTTCCCTTAGATTGGTCAGGCAAGAACTGGAAGAGAAAATGTATGACACATCATCTGCCTCCTCCTTTGACTCCTCCTCCTCCTCCTCCTCCTCCTCCTCCTCCTCCTCCCTCCTCCTCCCCCCCCCCCCCCCCCCCCTCCCCCCCCCCCCCCCTCCTCCCTCCCCCCCTCCCCCCGCTCCTCCCTCCTCCTCCTCCTCCTCCTCCTCCTCCTCCTCCTCCTCAGGCCATTGTGCACACGAGGAGGTCCGAGCACGCACACGGGGTCCGAGGGCCGCGCCGCACCGCCGATGCACCGCTGCCGCATCGGTGACTCGTCCTCGGCGCCGGCGACGCACCGGCGCCGTCGGCGCGGAGACCATCGGGCTCGACATCGAGCTGCATCGCCGACGCGTCGGGGATGCGGCGCCATCCTTCGACCCCAGCTGCTCGGACCCCCTCTGATCTGGGAGGCTGCAGCGACCAGCCTCGAACTCATCCCTGACCCGAAGACTGACGGGCCAGCAGGCGATGACAGTCTCAGGGACGCGCCCTCGAAAACTGAGGAAGTCCTTGAGCAGGGAACCGAACTCTATACGCCGACGCGCGTTTCCCTGCACTGAAACCTGCACAGGAAAGCGGATCCTGGTGTATACAGGATCCTGGTATATACAGCCGTTCCCCAGGAAACGGAAAGAAAAAACACACACACACACACACACACACCGACGCCGCCCCCGACCCTCAAGAAGTCCTGGGATTGAAGAACAGCCCGCCGCTGGTCGTGTGTATGCTCCAGCTTCCGGTCAAGATTGGCATCGAGGTGAGGCGATGCCAAGCATAGTAGGGGAACAAAGAATGGCATGAACATAAAAACTCGGAGGTCCGCGCGGATTGCTCGATCCGGCGCTGGACACCCCTCCCTGGCTCGCGGAGCGCGCCAGGGCGGCGCCGGAGGCGCCGCCAGGGGGGGTCCAGCGCGGATCCAACAAATCCGCGCGAACCTCCGAGTTCGTTGTGTTTATGTCATCCTTCGTCCCCCTATCAATTAAGATCACCATCGAAATGAGGCGATACCAATCTTAGGGGTAAGGATATGTCCCAGGCTGGTAACGCAGGCCGCGCGCGCGCGAGCTTCCAGCTTTCGCGCGGGCCCCAGCGCGCGCGCAGGCCCCGGTGCGCGGCCGGCGCGCGCTTCCAGCGTCAGCCAGCAGCCGAGGCGGGGCAGCGCAGCTCGCCTCGGCCGGGCTCCGCCCGCCCGCCCGCCGCCAGGGCTGCCGGCGGCTCGAGAGATACATGGGGCGCACAGAGACATACGAATACTATACTATGGGGCAACTGCAGAGGTCTTCGTCGGAAGTTTCAAGGAAGATGTAGCCCCATCGGGAGCTGTCAGTTACGCCGGAATGGGCTTTGGATCAAGCGGGGCTCAGCCGGATTAGGCGGGATTAAACGGGCTCAATCAAGCCGGATCAAGCGGCACTAAGCCAGGCCAAGCCGCATTTCGGACCAGGGTAACATCAGAGTTAAAGTTCCCAAGAGTTAGATCTGAATACTATATGACATCCTTGGAGGCGTGCGTCCGACCCGGACATAAAGTCGACCCATTTTGCGGCAAATCGTTTCCCGAGCGGCATAGCCAGAGAGCGGCCGCCACGACGCATGCACTGCAAGATTTCTCGGCGCGCGCGGCGCCCCGGGGGGGGCGCCGCACACATAGTAGCAGCGAGTCGGGGTTGCGCCGAATAAAGTCAAGACCGGCCCATGTAGACAAAAGAAACAAACACATCGCAACACAAACACAAAGGGTTGGGTTTCTTGCTCAGCGACTGCCATCGAAAAAACTCAGGGCACCCTGGACCAAGCGACTGGCTGACGGTTTGCGCAACGTTTCCCGGCGTCAAAACCGTCGGGGCACCCTGCCGACTGCGGCTTCTTCGCGACCGCTGCAAGCCTTCGAAGCGAACGCAAACAAACAAACAAAACACGGTACCTCGGCAGAACGAAGGGGGCTTCTTGGCACGGGCCCCCCCGGTAGGAGAATCGCGCCCGCGAGGATGTCGTTCGACGCGCCTGGCGGCCCCAGAAGGGCGCGGGGGCGCTCCGGGGCTCTGGGCCATCGACAACGGACCGAGGCAAAAACAAAACCAGGCACAGCAACAACAACAAACCCAATAACAGCAGCAGCAGAAGCACCACCAACAACAACAACAACAACAACTGCTGGGGGATCGACACACTAATTTTTAGGAATGCAACATCAACAACAACAAAAACGACAGCAGCGACAACAGCCACTGCACCAGTAACAGCATCCAAAACACAGACAAACACACAGCAACCACAACAACAACAGCAGCAGGAACAACAATAACATATGGGTGGTTTACAAATACTATCACACACACACACCAGCAACAACAACACCAATCGCAACAACATCACCATCAACACCACCAACAACCAAAAAAAACAACCGCCGTAACAACAACAACAACACCAACAACAACAACAACAACAACAATTACTAGCACGTGGGGACACTCCGTTCTCACCAGTGCCCGGGTTTTCATAGGAGGCGGGCAATACCCCCACTTTGTGGGGGGGCCGGTTCAAGCTCTACCAAATTTCCAAACGACTCTTCGCCACCACCCACACCCAGCTTCCCGCCCTATGACGTTCGGACACTTCACTTCGTGGCACGCGCGACGACCGTGGCTACTATTCAGGGCCCCGCGGCCGACGACGACGGCGTGCGCGCGCGAAGAAAAAACGAATGTGTCCCGCATGGTATTATTTGACAGGGATGATGGCCCTGGCAGGTGCGCAACCGTTGTTGCAGAAGTTCGAAAAAGTTGTTCGCAAAAGCCCGTTTGACAGAAATGTTTAAAAAGTGTTGGGTTTCCTACGAATCCGCAAGAGCGCGCGGGATGAAATTTTGACAATTTTTAGCGCGAGTGTCCACTTTACCTAATTTGTTGCAAGGGATTCTTGAAGTTTGGTTATGTTAGAACAAGAAATGTCCACTTTAGCTTATTTTTTGCAAGGGAAAGCGGGCCGTAACAAAACAACCGGATCCGGACCAACCCGTTTTGCCTGAGACTTCCTCACGAAAATGATGAAAATGCGGCTGCGGCCTAGGCGCGGCGGGGGGCCATGCACCAGGGGCCCCAACAATAATTATTCTTTAGAAGTAATAATGTTCAACAACAACAACCCCAAAGGCAGCAACACGAACAACCACTACATCAACAACGACAACAACAAAATCAGCAGCAATTACAACAACAACGCCCACATCAACATCAACCAACACCACGCCAACAACACGAACAACAGCAGCAACAACCACAACAACAACAACGATGGCTTAATGGCAGCCACTCATGGACAGCCCGGGAAGCCAAACAAATTAAATTGCATGGCGCGCAAAAAGGAACTAGGTCAGCACAAAAAGCCGGGTGATAGTTATGTCGCCCCCGCTGCGCGCAGAAACCGCGCGCTGGATTGGCGAAGTGGCGCACGGCACACGCGACGCGAAAGTGCGCAGTCGACGACGAAACCCTGCCAAATCTGCACATCTCCGACGCCGCATTTGCGACGGCAGCGGCGGCGGCGACACAGCGGAAGGCAGAGCAGGGGGCAGAAGCAGCAGCGCAGCCACTGACAGGAACGACGGAGCCAAGAATACGACGACGGGGCCGATGAAACCCGCGCACGAGGAGAAGGAGGGGGAAGTGCGCGACATCACCTGGAGAATAGCACTGGGCGAAGAGGGGGCGCAGAGGACGGAGAGGGGGGCGACTAGGACTTGAACGGGGGCGGTGGCTAGAACGGCCTCGATGGGGCCGCCGAGAACGGGCCTTTGGAACGAGGAGGACACGGTGATGAGGTAGAGAAAAGTCAGCGAGATCGGGCCCAGGCCGCGCGAAGCTACAAGCCGACTCGCCACTGCAAAGGGCCACGGGCCACCCGACAATTCTGCGATCCAAACTCTCATATGGCTACTGCACCATCATCGCGCGAATGCCGATGGCAAAACGTCCTGCGCGCGCCCCCACGCACCGATGAAGTTAAGAACACGCCGCCGCGGCCCGCGCGGCTGCCGCCGCTGCAAATTGCGAGTAGGCCAACAGGAACTCCCCCCCAGACTGCCGCCGACGACGTGGACCTCCCTGTTCCTCGCCCCATTCCCCCCGCCCCCCTCCCACCCACCCACCCACCCCCCCATCCCCCTCCGATTGCGCCCCCCCATCCCTTCCGCCTCGCGCGCTCTTCACCCTGCCCACCGCCCTCTCCAATCCCACCAGCCTTCTGGGCGCAGGTGGTCTAGAGCGCTTCCTTCTCCAACCTCCTTCCTTTCTCTGTCCGGGAGGTTTACCCCCCCCCTCTCCCCGCGTCTGGACGGCCCCCCCCGCGAGGTGTCAGAAGGCCCTTTGGGGCCTAAGATGGCTCCACGAAGGCTTCAGAGAGTGCGAGATGGCCTCCAAGATGGCCCAAGATAGCGGTAGATAGCTCAAGATAGCCTCCGACGCGCATTCACGAGGCCTCAAGACGGCCCCAAGACGGTTTCAAACGCCCTCCGAGCCCTCCGAGGACTCCCCCAAGAGGCCAAAATCCTTTGAAAACCGAAGGCAAATCAATGCGTTTTGCCTTTTCGCCGTTGCGCCCACGACGGGTTCCCGAGGCCTCAGGATGGCCCCAAGACGGCCCAAGATAAGCCCACGAGGGGCCCAAGAGGGCCCCAGGACGGCCCCAAGAGCGCCCAAGGGCGCTTCAAGAAGAGCCCCAAGAAGGAGCCCCAGGAGGCCCCAAGAGGGGCCCAAGAGAATCCCAAGAGAGCCCCAAGATGCCTCCAAGTTTCGGAACGCACGCGGGCTTAAGATACAAATCGCTGCAACAGCCACTACGAGGTCATCGAAACGCCCCTCACCCCGCATCGAAGCACAATCGTAGCTCGCACTGATTTCCATCGTAAACTTGCATGCATGCGGGAAGCTATTCGCGATCCATGTTTCCCCGAAGACGGCTACGCGACAGCATGCGTCCTGCCGCTCCTGATTCACCGACTCCCCTGCTGATCGTTTCTGGATGGGCTGGTGGGGATACTCGAATCGTCAAGAATTCACCCCTTTGCCCCCCCTGGCCGTCTGCGCCGCGACCCGCCGCGGCGACCCCAGTCCACGGCGCCGCTCGCACCCAGCCCAGCCCGCGCCAATTGCACTAGCGCCTCGGGCAACAAATTCGAGGGTCCCCAAAACTGCTGCCAGATGGCCACCGCGACCCAGGGCGGCGAGGGGCTCCGCACCAGACGCCTGCACGACCGCCACGGGGTCTCAATCGGCACGGCCCCTGGGCGGCTGCGATTTGTTAAGGTGTGTTCGAAGTGCCCGAATCGAAATACACAGGAAATGATTGTAATATATATATGATGTTGTTTGGAGAGAGAGAGAGAGAGAGAGAGAGAGAGAAAAACAAAACAAAACGCTTTCGCACTCCCCGGGGGAATGTTGCGCGCCCATTTGAAATTGGTAAAACTTAAGCGGCCGAAACTGGCGAGACGCCCACCGACTCCGCGCGCCCATCTTCTCATATGTTTCGTATATGGTTCGTGTATTGTTTTTTTTTTTTTTTTAAAAAAAAAAAAAAAAAAAAAAAAAAAAAAAAAAAAATGCAACATGCGCGCAAAAAGAAATGGCCGCGGAGGCGCCTACTTCTTTCACAACAGATGCATAACACATGCACGAAAAAGGCCCGCCCCGATCGGTGAAAACGCAAGAAAAATGACTGCGAAATGACACGTTCCCCGTGGCAGCCGGCGAGAGCAAGGTGGAATAGCGCGACGCCCCCGAGAGGCCCGCGACGGAACGCGGCTGCCCCATGGGGCCTTGCCCCCCCCCCCCTGCCACATGCGCCTGTGGGATGAGAGCCTGGCCGCCTCCCGACGCTGGGCGGGCGGGGGGTCGGCGGGGGCGCAACGCCAGGCGAAGGGCGCAGCCGCGCGGCTCAGCAAATGACGTCTGCGCCACGCCACCCTCCGCGGTAATGTACCCAGGAAAATGTCGCCGACATGAGGCGGTGCCCCAAGGGCAATGACCCTGCGCAAAAATGCCGCGGCCCCGACGGCCCGAAAGAGGGTTCCAGCCGTCGCCCCTGATGGGGGGCCCACCGCAGCCCCCAACGGCGGCGGCCGCGCGCGGTGCTCGCAGGCTCCTCAAGCATTGCCCCACCGAAAGCCGTAGTGGCAGGGGCTGCGCGCTCTACTCGCTCACCCCTCGCACGCTTCGTGGCCCCACATGCGACTCCGTCGAGGCCGCAGCAGCAGCGGCGGCGAGCGGCACTTGCGCCCCCCAGGCTCCATCAAAGGCTTCAGCGACATCAGCCGCACGCGGCACTTGCGCACCCCTCGCGCTTTTGATGGCCCGAATAAGGAAACCCGCCAAAGGTCCCAGCGCCAACGGCCGCGCGTGCACTTGGGCACCGCTCGCGCGCGTCCTGGCCCCATGGGGACCTCCGCCGAAGGCCCCAGAGGCGGCGGCCGCACGCGGCGCCTGCAGAATCCTCGCGCAGTTCGTGGCTCGACGGGGGACCCCGCCGAAGGCCCTAGCGGCGGCGGCTGGGCGCGGCATATTTGCGCAACTGTCACGCGCGTCGTGGCCCCGCAGGAAGCCCCGCTGAAAACCCCGACCCCGCTGGCACCGCCCGCGCGGCGGTCCTGGTTCATGTCGGCACGCCCCTGCCACGCGTTCCCTGGCCCCCAAAGAAATTACACCAGAAACTGTCATCAGAACTGCAGATGGGCGGGCTCTTCGCCAATAATTTGTTGTTAAATTCCCGCACCGCGCCAATTCATGACTCCGCACCGCGCCTATTCATGGCGCGCCCCCGCGGCGAGAGACCCCAAAACCAAGCCTTGGAAACCGATCCCGCGCGCCGCTGCAGGACGCATGATCGCCCTGGGCTGCCATGACAGTCGGCTTTCCCAGCGGGGTAATCGCTGCGCGCCGCAATCACCGCTTGCGCTTGGAGCACTTACACCTTATATCATACGGTCAATCAACTGATATTTGTCGAAAACATGTTGTTGTCCACCTATGTCCGTAACCTGTGTTACGGCTATTTTGAAGTTGTACAACATACCAGCACCTCTCCATATCACCATATTCTAACATATAACCGCAAGACTGCCCGCACTTACCTTCCGGAGAAGGGCTCCACATGTGTACCCCAGCCCTCGAATCCCGCCCACTTCGTTCATGATAACATCACTTTGTGTTGTTTGGGGCCACAGCCTGGGACTGGCGGGCGGACCTGACGGGCGGGACGGGCGGGCGAAACACTCAGGCAGGCGCCTGATGGCTTTCAAACAACTGGCCCGGCGGACCGTAACAGGCGGGTCGCCCGTGGACACACTTTTTTTGATTTGCGGGTCGAGAGCACACCTCTTCCGGTCGAAGCTAAGCGGGCCGCGCGAAGCTTGAATTAACAAAGAGGGGGGAAGGGAAGGAGAGCAGCCTCACGGCGAGGCCAGGACAAAGCGCCCGTGGACACACAAAGTAAAGCGGTTAGCGGGCTTCCAGTCCATCGACCGCAGGAGCCGGGTCGGGCGAGCGGGCCATGACGGGCCTGGTGGGCGCGTCGGGTAGGTGGACCCTAACGGGTGGGTCCGGCGGGCGGTCCGCAACGGGTGGGCAGGAAGAGCGGACCCTAACAGACGAGTCGGGCGGGCGGGACATTGACGCACGATTCCGAAGTAGATCTTTGCGAAATATCCGGCGAGAGCGCGATTACAAAGTAATGAATAGGGAAGTCCTGGCCGACAATGCAGTTCCTGATCATTTGCAGACTGTGAGGAAATCTCACATGAAAGCGCGATTCCTGAATATCTTATGGAGACTGATTGTTCGGCGGGAACCGCTTTTGCTGTATCTGGGGGCCCAAGACAACAGTTTGGGGCTCGAGAGGGTCCCTGATGAACGCAAAACAAGTTACGAGCGTCAAGGCCTTCTGATTCTGCCACCCTCCCCGCATCCCACCCTCCTCTCCCACTTGGGGTTACCAAGAGGGTGCGATGACAGACCTTACGGTGACCCCGAAGTGCCACAAGACCTCACTGCACGGTCAGTGATCGAACAGTCTGACCACTCCAGGGGCCCAACAGCGCCCAAGACGATCTCGGAGAAGGACTCCGGTCTTAAAGCCGTGCGGCCAACCCGAATCCCAATTGATTCACCCGACGGTGCGGTCACCGCACCGTTTTGGGACTGCCGATCCTGCTCCTCCTCCTCCTCATCCTCCTCATCTTCCTCCTCCTCTTCCTCATCCTCCTCCTCCTCCCCCTCCTCCTCCTCCTCCTCCTCATCCTTTGTCTCTTCTTTCTCCTCCTCGTCCTCCTCCTCCTCCACCTCTTTCCCATCCTCCTCCTCCTCATCCTCATCCTCCTCCTCCTCCGCTCCTCCTCCTCCTCCTCCTTTCTCCTCCTCCTCCTCCTCCTCCTCTTCCTCCTCCTCCTTCTCCTCCTCCTCCTCCTCCTCCTCTAGACGACGAAAAGGCTGCATTAAAAAAAAACTTGCGGGGTGGCGCAGCGCCAATCTAAGAAATCCGCGCAGAGCTCCGAAAGTGTCCGTGCATGCCACTTTGCTGCCTCGATCATTCCTCCCCTCCCCCTCCTCCTCCTCCTCCTCCTCCTCCTCCTCCTCCTCCTCCTCCTCCTCCTCCTCCTCCTCCCCGCCCTGCGCTGTTCGCATGTCTCGGGGTCGAAGCCCTTCCAGCGCTCCGCGTCCATGCGGTGAACCTGCACGGCGGCGCCCCCCGTGCCATTCCCTGCCAGCACTCGGCACGATACAGGGAGGATGAGGAGGAGGAAGAGGAGGAAGAGGATGAGGAAGAGGGGGAGAAGAACGATTGGAGGAATCGGAATCGGAATCTGATGAAATACAAAGCGCCACAATCACTACACGAATTGGATCTTTAACCCCTGGAAAGCCTGCCGAGAAACTCTCGCCTCGTGGGCGTGAGATGGGCTTCTAAACACGGCTTGGCAAGGTCACGAATGTGATCCGAGCCAAATCGAACACATGTGCGACAATATCACAAACGACTCACTGCACGGTAGATGAGGATGAAGAACAGCATGAACTGTCTGTAGTAGCAATGCCGCACGACGCCCTGCTTTGCCACGCGTCAATGGCCAGTTTCTTGCCGGCGGCTTAGGCAGCCCGCTCCATGCTCTCTCTCTCTCTCTCTTTTTCCTCTCCCTCTCTGTCTCTCGCTCTCTCTCTCTCTCTCTCTTTCTCTCTCTCTCTCTCTCGCTCTCTTTCTCACTTTCTCTCTCTCTCTCTCTCTCTCTTACACTCCTCGCACATGCTCCGAGTGGTTTGTCTCAGAAGCTACAGCTTTTTGAGGCTGCAGCCCGAGCAACGCAAAGCGAGACGACGAACAGGAGGAGCAGCGGCAGCTCCTCGAAACGTCCGTGGGCCCCTGGAGGTGTTATGAGGGGGGGTGGGGTGGGGGGGGAATGTGCTATATCCGCCGATCCGGCGTGTGAGTTTCAAGGAGTCTCAGCTACAGCCTCGAGGCTGAGCTTCAGCCTCTGGGGGGGTCGCCGGGGTGGCTCTGCCGGGGAAGGGGGGGTGGGGGGGGGGGGGGGGGTGCGAGTTTCCGGCGAACCCCGGGGCCGCTCCGGGGGAGTGGAAGATAGAGGGGGGGGGGGGCGCCATGCTCCGCTTTTTCCGGCGCTTTGGAGGAGGGGGGGGGCCCAAGAGACCCCCAAGGGGTTCCAAGAGGGCCCCGAGTCGCCGAAAAATCGCTCCAAGACGCCCGAGATGGCCTCCAGACGGCCCAAGGTGTCTCCAAGACGCCCCAAGAAGCTTCCAAGAGGCCTCCCAAGAGGGCCCCAAGAGGCCAGAATCGTTGATTTTCATTGGTTTTTTCAGGGTTTTTAGCGTTCTTGCCTTTTCGGGCGTCCGACGCTCGAAGACGGCCCAAGAGGCCCCCAAGTCCGTCCCAAGACGGCCCACGATGCTTCCAACACGGCCCAAGAGAGCCCCAAGACGGCCCAAGAGGGCCCCAAGACGGCCCAAGAGGGCCTCTGGACAGCCCAAGAAGGCCCCAAGAGAGCCCCAAGAGGGGCCCAAGAGGGGGACCACGAACCGAAAGAACCGAGCTTTCCGCCCCAAGAGGCCCCCAGGAGGCCCCAAGAGACCCCCAAGGGGCCCCAAGAAGCCCACAAGAGGCCCAAAAGAGGTTCCAAGAGGCCCCAAAACAGCTCCCCAGAGGCCTCCAGACTGCCTCCGGCAGGCCCCCGGTTTCTTCCGCGGCACCGCCCAGGGCGCCACCGGCAGGATGTCCTCCGTCTCATCGTTTTCCTTCAAGTTATCGCCTCTTCCTCATTCTCCTCCTCCTCCTCTGCGACCTCACTCCTATCCCTCAACGATCGCGTCACCGAGTGCCTCTTCTTTGAAACATCCTCGCTCTTCAAACGCACATCCATACACACATGCATACATACCTACATTTAAACACATTTGCATACATAGAAAAACAATCTTCCAGACATACATACTTACATTCACACACATACACACATATTATCATACACACATACAAACATACATACAAACTAAATACATACATACGCGCACAAGCATACATACATACATACGTACCTACACACAGGCACACATGATCAATGCATGCATACATGCATGCACGCGTACATACACACACATATATCGTGAAACTCACCGCGTGCTCGAAACTTGAGAGAGACCGCGGGAAGTCGAGAGAAGCCGCGGAACGAGGCCTCTACTACTACTACCACTACTACCACAACCACTACTACTACTACTACTACCACTACTACTACTACTACTACTGCTACTACTACTACTACTACTATAATACTACTACTAGTACTACAGGTGCGTTTCCCAACTAGTATGTGTGTGTGGGTGATGCTGTGTGCGCATGTCTGCGGCGCAGGTTAAGTGGTGTGACTGTGTGTGTGCGTTTGAGTGTGCGCCCATAATTTCTGCGTCTGGAGAATAACCCCGAGCGACCCGGATCGGCGGCACTGGCCGAAGGCCACTACAATATACACATATATCTATATATATATATAAATATATATATATTATATATATATATAATACATATACATATATGTATATATATATATATATATATAGGGAGGGGAGGGAGCCAGGGAGGTGTGGGAGGGGAGAGGGGGGAGGGGCGTCGGATCGCAAAGGCTGGGGCCGATCGCCCAGGCTGCCAATCCGAGGCACCTGCGCTCGCGGGCTCCCGAAAGACCGACCAGCCGCCCCCTGCCGCGGCCGCGAGAGGCCGAGCAGCGGCCACGAGACGGGCAGGCAGGGCCTCGAGGCCCCCGCGGCCCAGGCGGGCCCCGAGGCAGGCCCCGGGTGGGGAAGCGGCCCCCCCTTGAGGGGCCCGCTTGCCACCACGGCCACCACCACCACCAGTGGGAGGGGGAGGTGCTCCTCCTCCGCCTCTTCCTGATCCTCCTCCTCCTGGTCCTCCTCCTCCTCCTCCTCCGCTCCTCCTCCTCCTCCTCCTCCTCCTCCTCCTCCTCCTCCTCCTCCTCCTCCTGGTCCTCCTCCTGGTCCTCCTCCTGCTCCTCCTCCTCCTCCTGCTCCTCCTCCTCCTCCTCCTCCTCCGCCTCCTCCTCCTCCTCCTCGTCCTCCACCTTCTTCCCCCCTCCAACTTATGGTGGTGATCGTGGAAAACAGACCCATCACCCCTGGCGTGCTGGGAGGGGAGGGCGGATGAGGAGGAGGAGGCGGAGGAGGAGGCATCTCACCTGGACGTGGGGTGGCGCCTCGCCTCAGCTCCTCCGGAGGACAGGCGGCACCGATCGAGGGGCCGACCGAGAGGCCACGAAGCGCGAGCGAGCGAGAGCCGGAAAGGCCAAGACTAGGAGGAGGAGGAGGAGGAGGAGGAGGAGGAGGAGGAGCAGCATGAATTTATAGCCGTTTCCAAATCTCACCCTCTCTGTGGCGGCTGCGGGTCCAACAAAATGTCTCTCAGAAGCCGGCCGTTCTCCATCTCGTCATACGCTAGCGCCTTCTCTCGAGCTTGCGCAGCCACCTGCCGAATATGCTGGCCACCGTCGCCGTCGTCGAAGAGCTCTCGCAGACGGGACGCGATGCAGGACGCACTGGACATGTCGCAGGTGAGCACCTCCCGCCCAGGCTCCAGGAGGTCCGTTGCCCCGATCTCCGAGCGGTGCACCAGGCTTGGGCAGCCCATCGCCGCGGCCTCGACGATGGTCATGCCGAACGCCTCGTTCAGCGCGGGGTGCACGTTCAGCACGCTCTGGGACATCAGCGCCGCGAGCTGCCCGGTGGCCAAGAAGTCGTCCGTCTCCGCGAAGGCACACGCCTGCTTCAGAGAGCCCCTCACGGCGGCCGCAAACTCGGCGCTGGCCGCGGCGCCCACCATGCAGGGCACCAGCCCACGGCTCCGCAGCCACTCCGGGCCCAGCAGCCCTACGGCCTCGGCGAAGACGGCCACGTTCTTCTCGGGGACGACACGCACGCAGCACAGCAAGTACCTCCGCGGGACGTCCGCCGCCACGGCCGCCGCCAGCTGCTGCACCTCGTCGCGCAGGGCGGGGAGCAGCACGTGCGGGTTGGCGCCGAAGGCGGCCCGCAGCTTCTCCCGGTCGCTCTGGCACAGGCAGATGCAGCACGCGGCGCCTGACGCCGCCACGGCAAGGGACTCCTGCCGGCGGTAGAACGCAACGTCGTCCTCCGAGTTGCCAGTGTTCTCGAAGTAGACGCGGTAGTTGTAGTAGACGTAGGGGGTTCCTGGCGGCACTGCTGCAGCCGCACCGCCGACTCCCTGTGTGAGCTTCTCCGCCGCCGCGGTTGCCTCCCAGTCCACGCCGACCACGGCGTCGACCTTGCCAGCTGCGGCGAACTTCGAGACGGCCTCCTGGGCGGCCTCTCCGCCAGCGGCATTCGCAAACTGCAGCCAGGGGGAGTCGCGGCCGTGGCGGCGCCAGGTGTCCACGGGGAGGCAGATGCCTGTCAGCCGCGCGGACCAATCCTCGAGCCAGCCCAAGCCGGCCCCGTCCACGGGTCGCGGCGCAGCAGTGTCACCCGTCGCCGCCTCCTCGGCGGGCACTGCGCACACGACGCACACGTGGTCCCCGAGTCGCAGCAACGACCGCACAAAGCTCTGCGAGGCGGTACCGTTTCCGCTGAACGGGTGCACAAACTCCAGCGTGACGTAGACGACGCGCATGGCGGGCGGTACCGAGAACAGGATGGAAAAAACAAGGGTTCTGAGCCAAGGCAGCTGCGGAGGAAGAGGAGGCTAGCGACGAAGACGGCGCGTGCTGCTACCAGACAGCGCGCAGGGGGCGCACCAGCGTTTGACGCGAGAGCGCCCAGCGCTCGAGCCGCAGATCTCATGCATACGATCGACGAGAAGGCCACCTGGAGAGGGAGGAGGAGGAGGAGGAGGAGGAGGAGGAGGAGGAGGAGGAGGAGGAGGAGGAGGAGGAGGAGGGAGGACGAGCACAGCCGAAACGGGACCAGAAGCACGCGGATCCACAACGGGCGGCTCTGGCGCAGGGCCGCTCCCACTACTTGGAGGAGTGTCGGCCGAGACTGCGGGGGCGCGCCCGCTCGGGTCAGGTCGGGCCTGTCCTCCTACAGGCGGATCTTGGCCCCCTGACGATTGTTTGACCATGTTTTGAATCTTCCTCCTGTGGAGTGACACGCCCGACTTGAGGCCCGGGTCGAATCCGCTCGACAGCGGTCCCCCGACCCCTACTGCTTCGAGGCCGATGCAGCCGTGGCGCCCAGAAGCCTCCACTGGGAGGCCCCACGAGCACGAGGAACAAAAATGCAAAGCGGGGGGGGCCGCGCCGTGGTCTCGACGGGTGGGCCTCCCTCCGACGTGCCGTGCCGAGGCAGGGCCACGGGAGCGCAGACCCAGAACAACACTGAGAGGAAGAAGAAGAAGAAGAAGAAGAAGCAACGGCGTAAACGTAAACTCTTGGCGCTCCGCGCGGACTTCTTGGATCCGCGCTGGACCCCCCTCCCTGGCGCGCGGAGCGCGCCAGGGGCGGCGCCGGAGGCGCCGCCGGGGGGAGGGCCCAGCGCGGATCCAAGAAATCCGCGCGGAGCGCCAAAAGTTTATGTTCATGGCGTTTTTTTCGTCGAAGCACGAGCCCCTTCGCCCAGGGACCAGAGCCCCACAGAGACATACCAAAAACAAATGCAGCGCATCCCAAAGGTGTGGGGGGGGGAGGGGACACTGGCGAGGAGCACAAAGTCGAAACGCTGGCAGAAGAAACCCTAAATCAGAAGCGAGGCCCCCTTTGTTCCTTTCCATAGGTTAAACTTCGATTTCCCATCGGAGACCTGAGGACAACCCAAGACAAGCTGTAAAGCAATTCGGGAGCAGTGAGCCCCTCCCCAACGACAAGGGTTCCTTCTTCAGCGGCCCGACTGTAAGGGCACCCCTGCGTGACCTGGGCTATTCCTGACCCTCGTGCCAGCTGCAGGACGAGGCTCCAAAGAGATCTGCTCACTCGACCTCGGCAGCGAGAGCCGCACTCGGGCCGTGGCCTGCTGCAACAACACACACACACACGCACGCCCGCACGCCCGCACGCCCGCCCAACCACTCGCACGCACGCACAAACACAAAGGTCGAACTCCTGATGACAACTGCTTGATAAGTAGGGGTGCCACCGAAAGAGCACACTGAACCGTAAGGTTCTTTCACGGTCCGCGCGGACCTCATCCCGGGGGTCCCCTCCCTGGCGCGCGGAGCGCGCCAGGGCCGGCACAGGAAGCGCCGCCAGGTGGGGCCCAGCGCAGATGTCAGACATCCGCGCGGAACGCCAAACAGTTTATGCCTACGCCGTTGTGATGTCCTTCGGCGACCAAGGCCGGGCGATCGGCGATGTTGCTTAACGGTGATGTTGGGACCCAAATTGTAGGAACTCGCGGACCACGGTTTGCTACATCTCCAATCTGCGAGGGGATCGAGCGAACACGACACCGCGAATTCTAGGAACGCGCGAGTCAGGCATTCTCACACCACCGAAACCTACATCGCCGTTACCTACATCGCCGTTAGCCCGTCCGCGGGACGAGAAAACATACGAAACTCCACTGGTTCCCTGCCTACACCGCCGATTGAGAGGAGGCGGCACGCACCCTCCTCGGGGCGGAAGGGCGCCTCGCCCAGCCTTGGGGATACCCAGCCAGAGCCGAAGATACGGGTGGGCGAGGGCCGGGAGGGACTGAGGGCTCGCCACCGGCTGCCGCAGGGGGAGGAGGGGATGGATCAATTCCCCCCTTTCTCCCAAGACTCTCTCGCGTCGTGAAACAATCAGGACGGGAGGTGTTTGGCCGTCTTCGGCCTCTGGGGCCCCTCGCCAGGCCCCAGGACCGTCAAAGAACGACTCGGGATGCAAAACCAGTCCAAGGGAAAGGGCCGGGCCTTCCGGAGACCGCGCATGGAAAAAATCAGGACGTCGCACGTCTCGGACCCCTCTCCCCTGTTCCCCGGTATGCCAACGGGAAGCCCCCCCCGGTCCGCTCCAGCCTCCTGGACCACCCCCTTGGCATGGGGGAAGCGGGTCCCGAGGGAAACGGGTCCTGGACCCCACGGCGCCCTCCCCCAGGCCGAGCTCTTCCTCCTGAGCCGTTGTCTGGCAGTCCCGAGGCCCGTGGAGGGCCGCGAAAGCCCGCAGACGGCGGCAAAAACTAAACTCGGGTCCCGTTTCTAGGGGGCGCGCGAACATGGATTAGCGATCCATGGATCTGGCTCGCGGTCGCCAAATCCATGGATCGGGGGAAGCGCCCTCCCCAAAGTGCGGCCTGTGCCGCCTCGCTCGGCGGCGAAGATCTGCAATCTCCCATGGAACCGGGACCCGTCGGTAATCCACGCCCCCTTGATCCATGTCTGCGATGGCCTGAGCTTCCCTCAAGACCCGCTTCCCCCACGGCGACCGCCCCTTCCCCCCTGTCAGGCCAGAGGCTGAACCCCTCCTCCTCGTCCTCCTCCTCCTCCTCCCCCTCCTCCTCCCCCTCCTCCTCCTCCTCCTCCTCCCCTCCGGTCGGGCCCTCGGGGCCGTGCCTGCCCCTTCCCACTCTGGCCCAATATAGGCCCTGGCTCTGGCCCCCGAGCCCTGGGCGCCCTGCTCCCGTGGCCCGACCCCGATCTCAGACCCTCAGACGATAGCCCCAGGCCTGCTGCCCGAAGCCTCTCCGCGAAGCCCGTGCGCCACAGCCCGACCCCCCTGGCCCGAACCTGAGCTCAAATCCAACCCGAGCCATAACCCTAAACATTCAGCGTAACACTGTGATCCGAGCCCTAAGCCCTGGCCCTGGCACCCTAACCCCAAGCAGGAAAACCCGAATCCCAGCACCATAGCCCGAATCCGAAGCACGGGCCCTAGCTCTAAACCCTCACACACAAACCCGAGCACCCTAAGCCCAAACCCGAACCCTACAATCCAAGCATTCCACTTCAGCACGAATCCGAACCCTAAATCATAACACGCTACACTGCGGAACCCTGGCCGTAACACTCTGATCTGGGGCGCCAAGCCTAACACTGACACGCAAACCCTAAACCTCCATCCTACACGCAAGTCCTAACTCACAAGCCCTAACCATAAGGTAGAATCCTTGCCCTAACACTCTAGCCCCATACCCTAACCATCGTGACAGCCCATAGCACGTTAACCCAAGACAACCGCCCTGACACCAAAAGTACGTCCCCAGACCCCTCCTCACACTACAACCCATACCTATAATCCAGCACACAAGCCCTAACTCTAAACGTTCACATCAACCCAATGCCATATCACTCATGTTCGAGCCGTGGCCCGAAACACTGATCTTAACCCTAGCACCCTGACCTTACAACCGAAACACTAACACGATGACCCGATCAAACTACCCGACACGCTACCCTCACCATTGCCACACTAGCTCTCACCCTAACACCCTAATCATACTCACGAGCCCTACCGAGAACCCCCACGCCTAAGCCCCACTTCTAACACACCAAAGCCGACCTTACGCACGAATCCGAAATCTTAACCAGGCCATAACACGTACACCCGAACACCCTCTCCCTGACACCTGGCAACCAAACATCCCAATCCTTAAATCTGCACCGCAACGTCTCAACCATGGCTGAACCCTGACACATGAACACCTAACGCCATAACCCAAATGCCGTAACCAAAACGCCCTGAAACCCTAAACGGAACCCTAGTACGCAAAACTCTCACACCCAAACCCTACTTCTAAGCACGAACACACAATCCGAGCTCGCCGACCGTGAGAACCAACACTCAGCAGCAGCCCTAACCGCTAACTCTAGCACCCTGATCCTGCCACCCTAAACCCTAACCCGGAGCACTACCCCTAACATCCCAACACCATCAACCCTAACATCCCAACTCTAGCACCATAATCCTAAACCCTGAGCGCTACCCGTCGGTCGGAAAAAGTAGGCAGAATAATGAAGTAGGAAGGCTTTTGAAGTAAACTGGGCTTCCGCCCGCCCCCCCTGAAGTGGAGGGAAGAGGGAAAAGCACTCGAGGAAGGCAGCTCAAGTAGACTGGGCTCTGGGAGCCCAGGAAATACACACTTTCAACGACAAACGGGTAACCCTAAACCCAGGCAACCCGAGCCCCCCAGACCCTGACCGCCCCGCCCCCCGAAAAGATAGGCAGCATGCTGGTGACAGGTCAACGGACCCATCTTCGCACGTCATGCTTCGTAGGTTCTACTGGACACCCGATTCGGGGGCAAACCAATTCTGCAGTCGATCCCCTGCTCGAAACCCTGGCACCCGACCCCCCCAGACCCCTCCACCCTCGCGTGCTGGAGCGCGCCCGCACCGCCGCCCACCTCCACCGCCACAGGGAAGGGGTGGCAGGGGAGGGGCTGCACCTCCCCCCTCCCCCCCTGTCGGCGCCTCCCCCCCGCGCTTGGAAGGGAAGGGGGGAAACAAACCGTAGTTTTCAAGCGGGGGGAGGGGGACCTCCCCCCCCGCCTGGCAGCGAGGAAGGGAAAACAAAAGTTATAGTTCTTGATTGGGAGGTGGGGGGAGGGACAGACCCCCTTGCTTCAAGGGGGGGGCGGAGGAGGAGGAGGAGGAGGAGGAGGAGGAGGAGGACCAGTGTAAACGCAAGAGTCAACAACGATGTTGGAACAAACCCTCCCTCCAAGCTCCCTCTTCATGGGCCCCTACAACGGTTCATTTCCATTGAGGGAACTGCCCCGTTGGAAAGCAACCGTTTGAAAATCCTGAACTATGCCAAAACATTGCTCTCGGGATTTCAACGCCACATATCAATCTGACTGCTGCGTGTTGAGGATCCAGAATCCTGCCATAACGCCACAGTTGGGATTTCAACACCGCGAATCAACATACATGTTGCACCCGCATAATCTCGGATGCTTCCAAAATACCGTTTCTGGTACGTCGACCATGGGAATCCGTGAGACCCTTGTAACCTGTTACAGCGAATGTGCGCGGCGCTAAGGCGAGAACCACATGTTGAAAACGACCCGCCCTCAATCCGTGAAACTCTTGCAAATGTTGAAACCGAATGTGCGCGGCGCTAAGGCGATAGCCACATTTTGAAAACGACCCGCCCTCAATACGTGAAACTGCATGTTTAAAGAAACGAATGTGCGCGGCGCTAAGTCGAGAGCCACATTTTGAAAACGACACGCCCTCAATCCGTGAAGCTCTCGCGAATGTTTAAAACGAATGTGCGCGGCGCTAAGGCGAGAGCCACATGTTGAAAACGACCCGCCCTCAATCCGCACAACTCTTGCAAATGTTGAAACCGAATGTGCGCGGCGCTAAAGCGAGAGCCGCATTTTGAAAACCACCCGCCCTCCATCTGTGAAACTGTTGTCACCTTTTAAGCTTCAGAGTCATAAATGGTGAGGAAATCTGAGGCGAAACGCCCGGCCCGCCCTAAAAACTGGCCTCGGAGTGCGACAGGGAGAAGTTATCTATAAGGAGAAGGAATGGAGGAGGAGGAGGAGGAGGAGGAGGAAGCCCCCTCCCGCTCCTGCCTCCCCTCCCCCCTCGCCCGCCCATCCCCGGTCCGCCCCCGCCTCCTTCTGTCTCGTCTCCCACCCCGTCCCACTCCTCGGACCCCCTCCTCCCCCCGCTCCCCCCGTGCCCTGCCTACCTCTCATCCGATGTGTTGCCTCCCTCCCTACCTCCCCCCTCTCGCCCGATGCGTTGCCTCCCTCCTTGCCTCCCTCCCTCACCATCGATCTCCCTCCTCGCAAGCTCAGAAAGACACGCGCGTGCTGCGACGCCCGTGCGGCACGTGAAGGCGAATGATCTGAGAAGTACACACGAAAGGGAGATATATATGTATAGAGAGAGAGAAAGAGAGCGAGAGAGCGAGAGCGAGATAGAGAGAGAGAGATAGAGATAGAGAGATACAGAGATAGAGAGATAGAGAGAAGCGAGATAGAGATAGAGAGAGAGAGAGAGACAAGGCGAGAGCGCATAAAAGCTAGAACCAGAGTTGATCTCTCGGTGCAGCCAGCGGAGAACGTGCTTCCAGGCCTCAGTTGGGATACTACGGATGACGCGATAGGCACCGGCAAGCGCACCATGACTCTGACTCGCATCCCTGGCCTGGCTACCCTTGCTCGGTTTCGTTCCGTCTGTTACGGACGCCATCATGTCTACACCTGACAGACTCTGGAGATGTGATCCTGCCCAAGCTTCGCGCCATCAATGAGAATTCGCCGACATCGTTGGGCACCAGTGAGGTAAATGTCTGGCCCCACGACAGCCCATACAAAGCCCTAGGACGGCGGCACGGGTAACCCCACGAGAGCACCTCAAGCAATAGAAGCGGAGAAGAAACCCTTGAAGCGTCGCCACACGCTGAGCGCTGCGCTGGCACGGCAGCGGGATTGGCCGCACGCAGCCAGATTACTGCATGTCAGATGGGCGAAGCTGTCGCGGAAGCTCTGCGGACTCTTCGCGGAAGCTGGGCGAGGGCTGGCAAATCAATGGCTGCTAAAACGGTCTTCCCGGAAGACCAAAACAAATCCCCGAAACAAAACACAGCGCACTAAATAGTAAACGGGCCTCCGGAACTTCGTTTTAGCAGCCACGGGTTTGCCAGCCTTCGCCTGGCTTCTGATCTTCGGGATCGCCAGATTATGGCCCCAGGCCCATGACTTGTCGTTCTGGATAAATGCGGGCCTGCACACGAGATTTGGGATGTCCCACCCCTTCGCGGACAGCCCCACGCTGTCATCGCGGCTGCAACGGCGAAGAGGGAATGGCGGTGGGCTGGCAGCTGGACGAAGTGATTAGATCAGCAGGGATGCAGCGGCCTTCCTGCCAGCTGGGGAGACCACTTCGCGGGGTAATCCTTGCGCTACGCCAATGCGCTCCGCGAGGTGCAGGGAGCGTCAGGGCCAGGCACCTGCCAAGGCTGCCGCCCTGTGAGGGCCACAACATCCGATCTAGGAGGGGGGGAATGACGACAAGCCGGACGATGCCTAAAACACTTCCAGCAAATCGTCTCCCTGAGCCCCAGGCATTGGGTAGTCGTGGAAGTAGCCGCCCTTCATGTCCACCCAGTGCACATCCTCGAGGGGGGCCAACCAGAAGCCTTCGCGCTGGGCGTCAAGCGACAACAATTATGAACAGAAAACCTGACAATAGCCTGCCATGTTAAAAAGTACCAGTCGAGCTTGGGCCACGCCTGACAACACACGAAATGCGCATGGGGATATGTAAAACAAGTTCCCTGGATAAGTAGGGCCAATACTGTGCAAGAGTTGCACAAGCGTTCCCCAGTGTCGCCTCCACCCCTCCCTACCTCCTACATAGAACGGCGCATTCGCTACACTGCGCAAAGCCAAACTGCGAGCGGAATTTCCCCGCGGGAGTGGTTGAATGATATCGTCCTTTCCGCTTCCAAAACCCCTCTGCCCTTTGGGGATGGGCACCCTCCCCGTCCCCTCCCTGAGGTTTTGTTGGTGGGGTTCGCGAGGGGTCAGGGCGCACAAGGTGGCCCAAGATGGCTCTGAGTGGGCTCCCGATGCTCTGAGAGGGACAGGCCCGACTTAAATCTAGGAGCCCGCCTCCTTTGATCGATGGCCTCCAAGATGACCCCACGCGGGCCCTAAGGGGGCCCTCCAGGGCTCCCACGCGGGCCCTACGAGGGCCCCAAGACGGCCCCAAGAGCGCCCCAGTAGCGCCCCACGAGGGCCTCAAGAGGCGGTGTGCCTCCTCCTCCTCCTCCTCATCATCATCATCAACATCATCCTCATCCTCCTCCTCCTCTTCTTCCTCTTCCTCCACCTCCTCCTCCTCCGCCTCCTCCTCCTCGTCCCCTCGTCCCCTTGTTTCCATTCCCCATGGACCCGCCAAGGCCATCCCCTTTCTCCCAGAGATCTCTCTGGTCATCCCGGTTGCCTGGTTTCGTTCACTAGATGTGTCTCCTCTTCCCATGTCCCATCAGCTCTCATGGGACGGGTTTCTGGATGGGCTAGTGGGGTACGCCAAGCGTGAAGACTTCAGTTAAAGAAGCGCGCTGCAATAACCGACATCCGTCCCCATGGGTAGATGTGCGGCAGCACCCAAGAAGATAGACGCCGATCCAGAGGGGCGGAGGAGCATGGCATGGGCAAGCCCGGTGGCAACACCTCAAGCGAAGAGGGCGTGGCCTAACTGAACGTCCGCCGCTCCCCGCTTCTTCAAGTTCTCGACATTCCGCCAGATGTAGTCTACGATGCGGCGGCCAAATACCCACCCCATGCCGAGAAACCAACGCGGTGCAGCCATTGACCCGAAGTACTGCGAGACGCGCATGATCTCATTGAACTTCTTCTGCACGCACTCTGCGCCATCCTGCAGGCAACACCCAAGAGCCAACGAGGCATGACCGAAGAGACCGAAACTGAATACGGTCGGGCATACGCACGCTTCGTACTCCATCTACCCACACACACACACACACAAAGCACAAGCAAGCACGCACGCACGCACGCACGCACGACCGCACGCACGCACGCACGCACGCACGCACGCACGCACGCACGCACACACACACACACACACACACACACACACACACACACACACACGCTTATATGCACATACACACAACAAAACACATCCCAGCCAAGCACTCTGACTGCGGGCATGAGAATGAATGGCAACACGAATCACGAGAGAAAGGACGACACGTCCACTTAACACTAACTCGTCCACGTGACACGTCCACTGGCACGCCTCCTCGGACAAGTCCCATGGCACAACCGCAGTGATGATGACTGCGCACTGACCAGTTGCATCTCATGCATGGTTGCGGAGTGCTTGTTGCCTATTGTATGTGTACGGTTGCGTGCTGCATCAAATTCACGCGCGCGTGCTCAATGTATGCTTATGAGAAGCTCTGCAGATGCAATTTGCTGTTAACGGGCTTCGTGCAATAATGAACACACTTCCTCAACAATGAATGCTGTGAGGGTTCCCTGAGACCAGGATGATCCCGTGGCACGCAACATATGGGACAACCTATGGCGCATTGGGACAGAGCGACCCAACACTGAATTCTGTGACACGGGTGTTTGACACAACACTGGGCGTGATCGATGGCGCAGGGGGGCAGAGCGGACCAACTCTTGATCTGGTGGTGCGGAAAATCTCGCTCAACCTTTGCGCAAAACATGTCGCAAAAGGGACCAATGCTGCGCGCAAGGCCGCGACGTGCCTTGTCGTGTTGTGCCGTGTCGCGTCATTGCAAATTCGGTTATGGGCTCTCGGCGGAATGAAATTGTCACCCTGACAGTTAGGACCGTCGGGCCGCCGTTGATAGCATGTGTCGCTGCGATCTGGTTTCTGTGCACGGCGGCCCGGGAGTAAGAGAACAGATGCCCTGAGTTGTTTCCTCTGGGTTTCAGCGGTGCCGGTCCTCCCCCTCGTTGAATAAGTGGCACTGCTGCAGCACCATGATGCATCCCCCCAGGCTCATGCCCGGGAACTGCGAGCAGATGCTGTTCAGCTCCTCGTCCTGAAGACATTTCTCGCACGGCTTACAGAAGTCGCAGACGGATGCCTGCGAGGAGTCCACGGGCCTCTCTGGCCGCCAGGCTTCAGAGGCAGTCAGCGCAAGGCCTGCCAACGTGTCATGGCACGCTTCCTTTCTGGCCCGATCACCCGGCACGGACCCCAGCGTCCGACGTCGTGAACGAGCAGGAGGTACGGCGACACCCAAGCCCCGACTCGTGGGACTTCAGACTGGCCAGACCATGTGGGCCCACATCGGGGGTCGATAGAGGTACGTCCGAACAGCCCCCTGCGGATGTGTCCCCAGCGCCGCCGAACCTCCACCTTCCGCACCTTCCGCACCTTCCGCACCGTCCGTGCGGCAGATGCTGCGCGGTGGCGGCCGCCGCCACGGCCACAGAAGAGGCCGCTGTCGAAGCCGCAGCACAAACGGCCACCGGCGACGAGGCCACACGCTGCGCGTGCGGACGTCGAGAGAAGGACCACTCTGCCCCCCCTCCTCCGCCGACGCCACACGGGACCCAGAGACCGAAACCATGCAAAACTGGCGTCGCGATGTGGTCCAACCCTCATGTCTTCGATTATTGTTGTAAGTAAAGCGCTGCTGATCTCCACTCTCCACCCCCTACTCCTCCTCCTCTTCCTCCTCCCTTGGGGGCTGCTTAGTGCGCCTATCTATATATATATATATAGAGAGAGATAGATGCCATAATACCACGCGCGCTTCTTGCCCGCTTAGGGCTTAGGTCCTAGCACGCCCCAGACCTCGACAACAACACAGCTGCACATGTGCACGAGTACAAAGTATGGGTTGACCAGAAGTTGCGACGAAATGACAAGGACACCCTGAGAGGACCAAGGAAGAAGGCCTCACCACAGACGCCTCATTCTTGCATCCTCCCCCTCCTCCCCCTCCTCCCCCTCCTCCTCATCTTCATCCTCTTTCTGTTCGTCATCTTCCCTCCTCACTCCTCCCGCCGCTCTGTCCCCCATTCTTCTGGCCCCCATCATGGCCCATCCATCGCCTTCCCTGATTTCTACTTCTTCGCCTTCCTTCTGCCATCCTCCCTCCCTCTTCCACGCATCCTCGCGCATCCTCCCCCTATCCTCCTGTCTCCAACTCCTGCCTCCCCCCTCCTCCCTCCTGCCTGCAGCCTCGGATTGCTGGATGATCACGCGGAGCTCTTGGAGTTCTCATGGGGTGCTCTCGTACCTCGTTTGGCCTCTAGTCTGGGGGGATCTCGAGGCCGGAGGCCGTCTTCGGGGCGTCCTCGGGCGGTCTCGGGGGCCAGCCGGCACTCTCCTGGGCCGCCTTGGGGCTCCCATCGGGCTGTCCCAGATCCCTCTTGGGGGCCCTCCTGGCGCTCTCTCGGCGCCCTCTCTCAGGCCATCCTGCGGTAATATCAATGTAAAGTAATGCCATGTGATGTCATGTGATTTAATGTCATGTAATGTTATGTACTGTAGTGTATGTGTGTGCGCATTTCTGCCTGTCTGTCTGTATGTATGCATACATGTATGTACGTATGCATGTATGCATGTTTGTGAGGATGTGGTGCATATGTATATACGTATGCATGTATTGTGGGTCTGAAAGCGTGTCTGTGAGTTGCAGTGTTATTGCGACGGGCAGATCTGAGGGTCGCTTGGGGGTACAAGAGTACAGTGCCGAGGCCGCTGTCTCGGTGCCAGAAAGTGCTGGAGCGCGTCTAGCCTCCCGCCCGCTCGGGGGTGGGCACAGCTGCCGGGCGAGTTTGCGTGGCTGCGCCTCATCCCTCATCCTCCTCTTCGTCCTTCCTCGTCCTTCCTGGTCCTCCCTCCTCCCTCCTCCCTCCTCCTCGCTCCTCGTCCCTCCTCCTCCTCCTCCTCCCCCTCCTCCTCCACCACCTCCTCCTAATTACTCCTACTCCTACTCCTCTCTGCCCTCCTCCTCCTCCGCCGCCTCTTCCTCTTCTTCCTCCTCCTCCTCCTCCTTCTCAACCACCGCACCACGACGACGACGACGACCCCAGGGCGGGAAGTGGCAGTGGCCCTGCCAGATCGAGCATCGTCTCCATGACGAATCCCATCGCCAGGGACGGGGAGGCCTGTCCCTCTGGGGGAGAGGGGAAGTACCCTCCACCTGCCAAGTGACGTCTTGCCCGCGATCCTCGCGGGTCGAGGCCTCTGCACGCTGCTGGTCCTGTCCATGGGCCTCCCGAGGCCTCCGACACGCTCTGGGGACGGCCCGGAGCGGCACTAACACTTCTGCAGGGAGCACACGGAAGGACGTACGCGCCCAGCCTGGGGAGACCAAGGAGGTACCGATACCGCTACTCCCCATAGCTCTCCCGGGGTGCGTTCTGACCAGAATTTCGAAGCGACCACCGGTGGAGCGCTCTCAAGGGCCCCGATCTGTGCGAGATGTGTGCCGAAATGGACGCGGCGGTGCCATGCGGATGCACGTGCTGGGTCCACAGGTGGAGTTCCATATGGGCCACGATCTGTGTGAGGATTGTGCCGAAATGGGCGGAGCGCGGCATGCGGACGCATCCTCAGGGGCCATAGGTGGAGCTCCCTGTGGGCCACGACTCGTGCAAGGGTGTGCCGAAATGGGCGCGGCGACGCCAACGCCATGCGGACGCTCCCGCTGGGGCCATAGGTGGAGCTCCCTATGGAGCTCCCTGTGTGCCGAAATGAACGAGAATATGCGCCATGCGGCGCACCCACTGGATCGACAGATGGATAGTGGGGTTCCCTAGTCCAAAAGTCATTATTGTAAGGGAAACGCTTCAAAGCAGTGCCCCGACACGGCCTTGAACGATGCGCAAACCCACCAGAAGGGGGCAAGGCAACGCCAAGATCGCCTTCGATGTGCCCTTCCGACGTCCTCGCGGCCGCGCCTTCGTTCTCCTCCAGCCCTCTTGGATAAGGAACTGCACTGTATCCTCCTCCTCCTCCTCCTCCTCCTCCTCCTCCTCTTCCTCCTCCTCCTCCTCCTCCTCCTGAGTTCCTCTGTCCTCTTTTGCCTCATGCTCTCCTGCTCTTCTCTACCCCCCTCTCTTTCCTCTCTACCCCCCTCTCTTTCCTCGCTCCCCCACGTCCCCCCCCCGTTTCGTCAATCATCCCCGCCTCCTTCCGTCCTCGCCTTTCCCATTCCTTTACGATCCTCGCGCTCCCCGTCGTGAATGGACCCCCGTGTCCGTGGAGCAGGTCCCGTGCATCTGTGGAGGTTGGCTTTCGCAGACCATCCCCCTCCCCGAGAAGGATCTCGGGGTGATCGACCAAGGGAATATTGGGAATATCACGTCCGTGCACGTGGCCATGCAGCAAACCTGGCTGCTCAAGGTTTGTGCGAGATGCAGACCGACGCCAGGAGCGTTGACGGCGTCCCAGACCCGGGCAGAGGTGAGGCAGGCGTTTGCTTAACAGTGCGGCGCCGAAGGTGCGGACGGTTGGACCGATGGAGAAGAGGGGGACGATGCGGATGACCCAATGTTGGCCCAGTCGCTTTGCGCGGTTGCGGAAACCAGACACGGCCGCAGTTGCGGGACCCGAACTTGAAGCGGCGTCGGTCTCCATGGACGACGTGGTCGACGCCCAGTCGGCCGGGCAGATGTCAGTGGCGACGTCCTTGACGGATGCGCTTCGCGAGGAGGCAAGTATGCTGCGTAATGTGGGCATGGAGAAAAATGGCTCAGACTTGCCGGGCGGAACAACACAAACACAAAAACGGCTGTGAGAGCTGGCGCGTGAGGATGACGACGTCCTGCGAGCGTTGACCGCCCGCCGAGACCATGAAGCAGCAGTGGCGGCGAAGAGGCGGCGCCTGGCGATGGAAGCGAACGACAGGATAGGGCGTTGCACGATAGCAAGAAGCAGACTCGAGAGACCGAGGCCGTCGTGAGGGCATAGGAGGCTGCAGTTGCGGTGGAAGCGGCATTGGTAAAGAAGAAGAAGAAGAAGAAGGAGAAGAAAAAACGCCATAAACATTACCTGTTGGCGCTCCGCGCGGAGTTCTTGGATCTGCGCTGGGCCTGCTCCCTGGCGCGCGAAGCGCGCCAGGGGTGGCGCCGGAGGCGCCAAGCGCGGATCCAAGACATCCGCGTGGAGCGCCACAAGGTTACACGTCGTTCATTTCTAACCGCGCTCATTTCCAATTGTGCTCGTTTCTCATTGTTCCTGGCCCCCCAGTGTCCAGGAAGAGGCCCAGAATAGAACCATTAGAAATGAAAGGATCTTGACCCCCAAAAAACAAAAGAACTTTCGAAGAATCAGAAATGAAAGGACCTTGGCCCAAAAAACCATCAAAGAACTTTCGAATCAGCAGGAATGACCCAATGTGTATGTTCATGGCGCTGTTTCGTCGCCGAGTGGCGGCGGAGGCGGCCTGCGGCACACGAGCACGCCCGGGCCCCAGGCGGGGGCCCCGAAGGGGTTCTCGAGGTCAAGAGGAACAGGCCGGCACCCCTCGACCGCCTGGCTCGCGGAAGAGGGGGCGTCCTCTCGGAAGGAGCAGAGGGGGGGGAGAGGGGGGGGGGGGGATCTCGAGACGCACGGGGGCGAGCAGGTGCCCAAGGAGAGCAAGGAGCACTCGATGGGCCAGTCTTCCACTGCCACCACCATGGGTGGGACGGGGGAGAAAGGAGGATTCGGAGGTCCTCCTCCTCCTCCTCCTCCTCCTTCTCCTCCTCCCCCTCCTCCTACCTATGGCAATGGTGGTGGGACATCGGCGCATCAGCTATGGCCGTTCACGCTCGCTGGGTAAACGCAGGCAGTCGCCAACGACGCGGCGTCCGAGAATCGCTCGGCGCTGGCGCAGGTCGCGTCCTCGGAAACAGTGAGAACCCCATGCGGGGGGGTGGCGCTGGTGGTCCCTGCCGCAACCCCTGCAGGCCGCAGTTGCGGACCCACATGAATCGGGAGCGCGCAAACATGGATTAGCGATCCATGGATTTAGCGCGCGGTCGGCAAATCCATGGATCGGGAAAGATGCCCTCCCCAAAATGCGGCCGGTGCCGCCTCGCTCGGCGGCGGAAATCCGCGATTTCCCATGGAAGCGGGACCCGTCGCTGATCCATGCCCCCTTGGTCCATGTTTTCGATCGCCTGCACGAAGTCCAGCAGGAGCATTCTTTCGGCAGCGCCTCCCCCGCGGACAGGGGATGGGGCTGCTGCGGCAGGCGTGGCCGCAGCTGCTGCGCGCTGCTCGCCCCGAGGACGGATGGCCGCACCGGCGGCTCAGTGTCTGTGGTGATGCGGCACTGATCAGTGCACTTCCTCCCTCCTGTCCTCAGGGAGGGAGCACGGACTGTAAATCCGAACCTTCCGCCTCAGGAAGCCCCTAGGATGCCCCAGGAGGCGCCGAGGAGGCCCCAAAGGCAAACCCCATGACCCGAAACAGCCCCCAAGAGGCCTCCAAACTGCCCACCAGAGGCCCTCGAGAGGCCTCCCACGAGATCCCAACGAACATCCAACAGGCTTCAGTCCCACAACCAAGGCACGGTGGCGGGAATGGCCGAAGGTCATTCGATACAAGCTTCAACATGGCCTGGACATCTTGCACGACGGCGACGGCAGGTTCTTGACGGTCCGACATGACCCATCTTTCCACGTCTTCGACTACGCGAATGGCCCTGGGAAGATGCTGGATACATACGTGCCCAAGGCTGACTCCGTCGCAGACAAGATCCGCGCATCCCTGACGCTATCTGACGCCTCCGTGACCGCAGTTGCGGACTTCACGCGAAAGGTGGCGCAAAGGGCGCGCGGCGAGTGGGTGCCCCGCCCTTTCAGAGTCAGGTTATCCAAACTCGACGACAAGATCTGGCACGGCGCCGCCAGCAAGGCGCGACACGGAGCGAGGCTTTCACGCACCACACGGGCCGCAGGTCCCTTGAGAAGGATGGCCGAAGGAAAGGCAGGCAACTGGGTAGTCGAAGCCAATCTGGCGCCAATCTGGCAGGCCCAATCTGGCAAACGGGGACAATCTGGCGAGGGAGCCAACGCGAATCCAGTCTGGCGAATAACCCAAATCATCCAGTTTGGCCGGGCCAGATTGGCCCTTGGGGCCCAATCCAATCTGACAGTCTGGCCTTCGACTGCGGCAAGAAGAAAGGCGGCAAGAAGGGCGGGGCGTGGCGCAAATGCCAGTGGCCCACACGGGAACCGCCGTTGCGGGGGGGCGACGCCGAGGCGGAGCGAGCCTGGAGCTCGAAGCCGCCGCAGGCTGTCCACGGCCGGCGTTGGGACCACCTGCGCCGCCGGGGGCGGCTGGGTCCCGCAGCGCCGGCGGCGGCGGCGCACGGGAGGCGCACGGGAGACCGCGACGGGCTGGCGCGATGGTTCCGAGTGGGAGCGGCGCGATTGTTCCGAAGGGGGAGGGCTTGCTGATAGTTGGCAGTGGTGGCATGATGGTCGCGCCGCAGTTGCGGACAGTGCTACAAGGGGCTCGCCTCCTGAGGGCCCGCGCGCGCGCGGGGGGGGAGTCAGGTGGGACTGGAGGTGGTCTCGTGTCCGACGGCAGGCGGTATCGAAAACGAGGCCAGCGGGAATTTCTCTTCGGGCACGCCGCCAGGACTCCAGAGCCCACTGCGCTGCCAACTCGTTGCCGGCGCTGCTGCCAGAACGCTGGCTCCGAACGCGCCAGCTCACGTGTGGCGGACGTCGCGCTGCCAGCGTTGTTGCTGGCGCTGCTGCCGAGAGGCTCACGCCTGACGTGCCCGCCCGCGTCGAGCGCACATCGCGCTGCTGGCGTCCTTCCGCAGGAAGCCAACTCCGAGCGTGCCAGTCTCGCCAGCGGGGAAGGGGAAGGACGATTGGAGCAAGGAGCGGCCGTGGCGGTCTCCTCCTCCTCATCATCATCCTCCTCCTCCTCTTCCCCCTCCTCCTCCTCGTACTCCTCCCTCTTCCTTCCTCTGCCCCCGCTCTCCTCCTTTTCCTCCCTCCTCCCTCCACTCCCTCTCTCCTCCCATCCTCTCTCTCTCTCTCTCGCTCTCCTTCCTCCTCTACCTGCCCTTGCCGCGGATTCTCGGAGTATTGAACTTGCCACCCTTACCTTGTCTGCCTCCTCTTCCTGCCCCCTCGTGATGCTTCTGGTCTTTCCCCGCGCCATACTATGGTGGATATCGCGAAAAATAACGAATGGTCTCCAACAGTAGATAGGGCTCTTCTAAAGAAACTGTTGTTTGCTTAATCGTCCAAAGGCTGAGGCGGTGGATACATCTCCCCTCCCAACCTCTATGGCGAGCAGGAGCTTTGGAATGTGAAGATAGCTGAAGCGTGATTGTATCAGAGACGCCGCTCGCAGGGATGCGGAAGGCTTCATCCTCTGCGGATCTCAGGAGCATGGGGATGCGGCATCTCCTCATCCTCTTCCCCTTTCTTCCTATCGCTAACGCGTGCTCGTGTCGGAGACGGTCTGCGAACAGCGCGTCCAAATGATCCAACTATGTTGCCGTTGCTGCGCGCGTTGAAAACCATACTCGTGCGAGGCAACAGGCAACGAGCGGTCAAAACAAAAATGAACTGGCTCAGCATGAAAGGACCGGACCCTGGAAGAGCGTCGGGGGCGGCCAAGAGGGGGGCGTCCAAAAGGGGGGGCGCAAATCATGACCAACGGCATGTGCGCGGCCCAGGGGGCGGTGCCAGGGACGTCATCAGATAAGAAGAGTGCCTCGAAATCTGGGGAAATATCATGGCCCACGCCATGATAGCCACCCCCCCTGGTCATCACCCCTGAGAGAAGGGGTCCTAGCCGTGTCATACGTTTCTGGAGCCCTGGGGCCCTCCAGGGGCCCTGGGACTGTGAAACAGCTGCTCCGACGGATGCTTCGGCCCTGGAGAAAGGCCCGGGCACTGGGACCATGAGGATGAGAAGGAGGAGGAGGAGGATGATCCTGATGATGATGATGATGATGCTGATGATGATGATGATGATACTGATGCTGATGCTGATGCTGATGCTGATGATGATGATGATGATGCTGATGATGATGATGATGGCGATGATGATGATGATGATGATGATGGTGATGGTGATGGTGATGGTGATGGTGATGATGATGATGATGATGATGATGATGGTGATGATGAAGATGAAGATGAAGATGAATATGAAGATGATGATGATGATGATGATGATGCTGATGATGATGATGATGATGATGATGATGATGATGATGATGATGATGATGCCGCTTCCCTGGAGGACCCCCTGCCCTCCTCGTGAGCTGTCGCCGTGGGCGCCTGCCACCTGCCAGCACCACCAAAACGGGGCGCCGGCACGACGCCGCGCCCTGGGACCGCGGGCGAGCGGGCAGCCGACGCTGCCCTGCACCGAGCGCGGGACACACAGGCCACGGAGAGCTTTGCCGGTGCAGGCCAGGGTGTGATCGCCACGCTCGGGGCGCACGCGGTGCGCGCCGCAGCTCCGCCCGAAGGCGCGCGCTCTCCTGCCGTCGGCTCCGCAAGACTCCGTTGGAAGCCTGGGAGGAGGAGGAGGAGGAGGAGGAGACACGTAGTTCATCCTGTCCCGAGTGCCGCCCCCGCAGTTCCCCCTCTCTGAGGGGGCCCGGGGACGCACAAACGAATGGACACAGTGGCTCCCTGAGACTCCATGTTCCCTGGATGCTCGTCTTCCCCTCCACTTCCCATACAGTCGAGGCGTTGACCTAAGGAACCCTAAATAAGGAACGAGGCACCTTTTGTTCCATAAGTTCAGCCTCGATGTCTCATGGAAAACCCAGGAAAGCCCAAGGCAAACTTTGAAACAATCCAGGAACACCGAGCCCCTCCCCGACGAAAAAGGGTTCCTTCTTCAGCGCTCCGACTGTATGTTTCCACATCTTCCGGGAATCGGCGACTGTGTCGGTGTGCTCTTCCCCCCTCCTGGAATCC